GTGGGGGTGGTCTCATGAAGAAAACCACTTTGGACAAGCAGAGGAGGAGGGGAGCCAGGGAGGCAAGACGTTCCCAGACAGAGAGGCATGGAAGGATGGAGCTTTTTCGGGGGCCGCTGGGTAGCTACAGGTAAGCAGGAATCATGTGGAAAATAGGTTTTTAGCTGAATATGGAAAGCCCTGAATGAAAGGCTAAGTTTAGATTTAATCCTAGAGGCAAAAGATACCACTGAAGGGATGGCAGGATCTTTTTCTGAAATACTAGTTTATAAGGCCCTCAGTGATAATTTAAAAAAAAAAACAGTGTTTCAGGGGCGCCTGGGTGGCTCAGTCGTTAAGCGTATGCCTTCGGCTCAGGTCATGGTCCCAGAGTCCTGGGATCGAGCCCCACATCGGGCTTCCTGCTCGGTGAGAAGCCTGCTTCTCCCTCTCCCACTCCCCCTGCTTGTGTTCCCTCTCTCACTGTCTCTCTCTGTCAAATAAATAAATAAAATCTTAAAAAAAAAAAAACAACCCAAAAAACAGTGTTTCAGCTTAAAAAGAAGTGTGTAAAACCTACATAAAGAAAACCTGAAAAGGCCCCTGAGGCATACAAAAGATTTGAACACGTGTGTAGAAAGGCACATCCGAATCTTGAATAGGAAAACTCAATATCACAAAGTTGTCAGTTTACCCTAAATTAATCTATATATTGAATATTATTTTAACCATATTTAAATTCCATAATTTGGGGAAAACTAGAGAAGCTATGAGAAATTCATTGGGAAAACAAAAATAGCTAGGAAAATTCCTAAAGAAGAGTAACAGACCTTCCCAAGTGCTTTTTCTATCAGATAGTAAAGCACAGCATAAAGGTATAATGATAAAACTTGTGCTACTAGATAGAATATGAATAGACACATTGATGGAACAGAAATAGTTCCAAGCACAGATAGGCATTTGATATCTGATAGACATGGTATTTCAGATATAAAGGGGAAAGAAGGATTATTGGATAAAAGGTGTGGACAAAACTAGATGCCATCCAGGAAAAATTAACTTAAATATATACCTCATGGTCCAGGATAATTTCATTTGGATAAAAACTGAAATGTAAAAATGAAACCATAAAAATACCAAAACAAAACATGGTTGAATGTATTTTTTTAATAATGCTGGTATAGGACACAAAATTCAAAAGGCATAAAATAAAATATTGAAAAATTCAACTACATTAAAAAAAAACTTCAGGCAAAATTTCTGCTCCTCTTAATTAAAATTAAAAAAAAAAACACAAAAAACTTGTGTGGGTTAGAATACTGTAAGCAAAGTCAAACAAATGACTAAAGATATTTGTAACTCACATCACAAAGAGCCAATTCACTTAGGATATAAGGAACATATACAAATTAATGAGGAAAAGGACCCACAATCCAATAGCAAAATGGACATATGTATGTGAACAAAAAGTTAACAAAAAAACTGTAAAATCTCTTAAATGTGTAGAAAATTGTCCAAGCTACTCATAGAAGTACAAATTAAAAGTATAAACATATACAAAAATTTTAATAAATGGTCCTTAATTAGTCTGAGCACATTAATCATAAAAGACATTTTTGAGACAACTGGGAAAATTTGAATATTAAGTGGGTATTAGGTTATATTAGAGTTGATGTTAATTTTATTCAGTCTGCATTTTTGCCAGCACATAGCTTTAAGCTAGGGGTAAAGCTTGGTGTAATAGTGGTATTATGGTTAGGTGGGAAATGTTCTTGTTTTTCAGAGGTACATATTAAAGTATTAGGGGTAAAATGTGACAATCTTCAATTTACTTTAAAAGTACTTCAAACCCTCTAAATGGACAAGCAAATATGGCAAAAAGTGAACAGCTGTTAAGTCGAGGTGATGATTCATTATACTTTTATCTGTATTTTTTTGTATGTTTGAAATTTTTCATATTAAAAGCCAAAAAGTACAATGACAGTACATCAAGACACTGTTTCACTTATCGGGTGGGCACAGATGGAAAGTCTGATAAAATAGTGTTTGGTTAAGGGTGTGGGGAAAGAAAACATTCATATGTTGCTAGAGAAGGTATAAGAAACAATATTGCCAAGAATGGTCAGAATTATATATTCAGTAATTCCACTTCTAGGAATATGTCCTACAGATAAACTCATACATTGGGAAATAATCGATATATAAGTTTATTCATTGCATTTTTAAAAAGAGACAAAGACTGGAAGCAATGAAAATGTTCACCAATAGGAGACTGGTTAAATTAAAACTGTATGTCCATACACTGGAATACTTAATTGCTATTAAAAAAAATGAGGTTGTTTATGTATTAATATCAATAAAACAATCTTCAATATATCTTGGGTGGGGGGGAAAGCA